AAAGTCCAGAGATTCATCAACGGAATGAGGCGAGAGACGTATGCGAATCCATATTATGCTCAGACACGTGAAACGGCTTCTCTCCCAAGTAAACCAGCCTACCAAGGCCATCGAGTGGAAGTGGACACTCCGGACGAGACAAAGAAAATGCTGAAGAAGATAATCCAACTGTTGGGCGAGAAAAAGGATGACTCTGACAAATGCTTTAAATGTGAAAAGCCAGGCCACTTCGTCCGTGATTACAGAAAAAGTTCCAACAGGAAAAACAATTTAGCAGGACGAAAACGCAGGGCTGAAGTAGAAGAACCCAACTCCGTTAAGCTAAAACGTGCCAGCAGAAAGGTGTGAGGGCTGGCTCCAGCAGTTGAATGCGCCATAGTCTCCGCATACGAATTGGCAGAAAGGCGGGCAACGTTACTGTTGGTGGATATGTGGACGGACATGAGCGAGTACTAACTAGGGATACGGGCGCATCATATTCCATCATTAGATCTGATGTGATCTGAGCTGGGGCAAGGTTGAGGACAGCAACTGGTGCAGATAGCCAAGTTGAAGGAGAGGTAACATGCAAATTCGCTATAGGGAATTTGACGGTGTTCCACATGTTCATTGTCGCGGAGATTGTGGATGAAGTCTTCATTGGAGTAGACTTCTTATCATCATGACGTATAATAACATGGAAGTGACGCTTAGCTTTGGATATGATGGCCTGTACAGCAGCAAGCGAGTGATCCTAGAGGAAAGCGCACAGATTTAAACGAAGTCCGAAGCAGTCGCTTGGGCGAAGATTGATGAAGATTGTGGGATAAACAAGTTGTGGGTTGTTGAAGCAACATAGAATTCTATACCGGACATTCTTATTGTTAAAACGCTGGCTAAGACGCAAAAAGATGAACGCATCCCAGTTCGGGTACTTAATGAGTTCAAATCACCAATCAAACTCCGAAGAGGAACTGTTCTGGGGCAATATTCGACTGCGAAAAGTTACATGAAAGAGATTCCTTTGACATTGCGGAAGATATAAATGCATGGACTGAAGGGTTGGAAGGAAAACACCACCACAAGGCTGAGGAAGCTCTCCGCAGATACTCCAACATATTCGGCAAGAATGGCAACAAACCAGGCAGGGCGAACGTTGTCAAATATCGCATTGATACTTTCGATGCAAGGCCAATCCGTCAAGCTCCTGAACGTGTTCCACTTGCCAAACGTGAAGCTGTAAGCCAAATAATAAAAGAAATGAGCGAGAGTGGTGTTATTGAACCATCAGCGAGCCCATGGAGAGCGCCGGTAGTACTTGTGAAGAAAAAAGATGGTCAAATGCGGTTTTGCGTATACTACCGTAAACTAAATGATGTGACGAAAAGGGACAGCTATCCACTTCCCAGGGTCGATGATATTTTGGAGGTAAGTGAAGGGGACAAGGAGAGGTCAGTATTAGGCATTTGAGATGGTCTGTCGCAATTCACGGTCATGCCCTTTGGATTATGCAGCGCTCCTGCCACTTTTGAAAGACTTATGAACCATGTGCCTTAGGGACTGCATTGGAAAACATGTGTGGTCTACATTATTGTGTTTGGTAAAAGCTTTGAGCAACACCTGAAGAATTTGGAAGAAGTTTTTCAGAGGATAGCTGGCGACGATCTCAAAAGAAGTCCTTAAAAGAGCTCACGGTTAAAGAAGGAGGTGAACGACCTAAGATAAAAGCAGTAAAAGATTGGCAAAGACCTAGGGACTTGTACGAGCTACAGATTTTTCTTGAACTATGTACTTACTATCACTGTTCCGAATCTCGCCAGCATTGCTAATAGCCCTCATCAGCTCATTAGGAAAAATAGAGCCTACGACTAGAATGAGGAGCAGGAGTAGGCTTTCCAAGCTCTGAAGGAACGGCTATATACTGCACCGATGCTAACGAACCCGGTTACAGGTCCAACGCCACGGATGCAGGTAATTACTGGGCAGAAGAAGGTAGTCGCCTACTATAGCCGATCGATTGGAAAACCAGAGAGGAACTACTGCATAACTCGGAGAAACCTACTTGCGTTGGTGGAGTGTTTCAAACATTTCCGCAAATACCTCTATGGGCAACGTTTCCGATTTCGAACGGATTACGAAGCGCTGAGGTGGTTATTACAGTTTAAGAATCCAGAAGGACAGCTAGCTCGGTGGATTGAGAGACTGCAAAGTTATGACTTCGCTATTGAGCAGCACAAGGGAAGTGTCCACGGAAATGCTGGTGCCATGTCTCGTCGACAATATAGCCTGTAACAGCTAAGAAAGTATCAGCAGGAAGATCCAGATCTGGAGCTTTCGATGCATGGACTTGAGCCGGTCAGACGACCAACTAAGGAGCAAATGGCAGCGGAGATCTCATACGAAAAGGCACACTGGGCTAACTGTTCCAGCTTAAAATTGATATCTGGCTGTTTGCATATGGTATGCGAAAGTGAAGTGTTCCCTCAGTTTTATAGTACTCCCGAGGGTAAGAGTTCCGGACGTTCTCAAGGAATTCCACAATGGTACCAGTGAAGGGCACCTGAGAATCACAAAGACCCTGGATATGATTAAGCAGAGGTTCTATTGGGTTGATTGTCGGCAATCGGTCGCAGAGTGGATTGCTAACTGCGCGGTGTGTATTGCAGCTAAAGCGTCAAAATCCGGAAGTCATGGCCAGATGAAGCAATATAAATTAGGTGTACCATTCGAGTGGATTGCCATGGATGTAGCCTTGTCGTTATGGACTACTTTAGCAAATGCCCGGAGGTATATCCAATTCTAAATCAGGAAGCTAAAACAGCAGCGGAGGTAATCACCTACAATTGGGTTGCGACATGCGGTGTACCTATAGAGGTGCACTCTGACCAGGGAAGACATTTTGAATCGGCGGCATTCCAAGAGATGTGCCAGATACCGGGTGCCCGGAAAACTTGAGCAACGGCTCTTCATCCCCAATCAGATGGCATGATGGAACGGTGAAACTGCATCCTGAAAGAGCATTTCCTGAAAGTCATGGACGAGAACCAAAAGAATTTGGATGTCCACGCACCCTTATTCTTGATGGGATACCGGTTAGCAGTGCATGAAATAACGGGTAAAACTCTTGCAAAGGTAATCTTCGGCAGTGAACTCCGTGTGCCTAGTGATCGGAAGTTTGATGCAAGGAAAATTGGAAAAGAGACGTCCAACGTACTGGAAGAGGAGCCGAGAGAGATACATGCTCTTGTGAGACAGCGTACTCAAATTATGAGTAACAAGTTAAAGGTCAGATATGATAAGGCGATGAACTCCGAGGGTTTCTAAGAGTGGGATTTAGTGTTGCTGTAAAATCCACAAGGGAACAAAGGTTTGTCCCAAAAAACAGCAGTGGAACTTGGAAGGTCCGGATATAGTTGTTGAACGGTTGAATGATGTAGTGTATTGAATCCAGACCGTTGGAAGCAAGGTATTTTTTTTAACACACGAGACTATTNAAATCAATTTAAAATTTTTACGATATTTCGGTACGATATTTTCCCAGTGTATTTTTACAAAATTATCTCGATCAGCTCGAGATTGCTCGTGATAAATTCCAATAGCATGCATAAGCTCGTGCATAATCCGCCCTTCGCTGTTGAAGCAATGTGCGCTTTTATCATCCGGTTGTTGTAATGACACTACCTGCTCTCCACCACGTTTACCCACAAACGACCAGCAACCGGCGGGCGCGTCATCCACCGGCGGTGTAATTAGTACGTAATCTTCTTCCTCGCCGTCAAAGGGTTTAAAATTAATACAGGTTAAAGCATTAAATGTATTCAAGGCACGTTCTATGGCCATCCGTTCATTGTTGGTATACAAATGGCTGATTTCGAAGGGAATAGTGGCGTTTGGCCACAAACGTTTTGGATGCTTCATTGGATTAACGCCAAGCCTAAGTGATATGTAGGTATAAGGATCAATAGCGATGTCACCTTGGTAGAGGCGTGGCACTGTTTCGGGATCATCGATTTCTGATTCACCATCGTCCCAGTCCTCTGCGTGTGAGCTCAGTGAATCTGTAAAATTGAAAAAGATAATACTTGAAAGAAATGTCCTTAAATTTGTCAATTTACAATGCGCAAACAAATAAAGAGCAAAAAGCTTTACATAATTATTAAGGGTCAGTTTCTCATTGTCTGGTTAACCCAAACAACAGGTTAAACATCGTTATCGACTCCCTGTTTTATGTTATGGTGTGGGTCACGCCAATAACTACATATATTTTACC